ACTTGGAAGGCTGAGGCGGAAGGATCGCCAGAGCCCAGTGGGTCGAGGCTGCGGTGGCCGCGAGCAGCCACTGCACTCCAGTCTGGGCGACGGAGTGAAACTCCAACTCAAAAAAAAACAACAAAAAACAAAAAAAACAGCTGCTGGGGACATGGAGGTCCTTAGCTCCTTAGCTGAGTTCCTCTCTACGCCCAGGTCTTCAGGGTTCTCAGTGAGACACTGGTCAGGGACAGAACATGAAGCTGGGGAAAGTGGTGAGAGTCTGGCAAGTGCAGACACCTTGACACTCCTTTGCTTCTCCTCAGTGGTCTCTCTGGCCTGGCCAACTGGGGCTCATGTCAGGAAGGGGCTTTAGCATCCCTGTGAAAAGGCCAGTGGCCTCAACCTCTCTGCCCCATCCTGGAAGTGTTGGAGGCAGGAGCCATGACTGGGTTTAGTTAACTGGTCTGACTCAAAGCCAATCTCTTGGCCTGCGCTGGCTGGAAAGCAGCCCCTCTCATGGGCTCATTTTTTTTTTTTAAACTTCCCATCAGCTTCCTGGAAGCCCCAGTTTCATCAGAGGAAAAGCCCAACAGGAGAAGGATGGGTGTGTCTGTGTGTGTGAGGCAGGCTGTGATCAATCTGTGCATGGGTGGAGTGTGAATGAGTGTCATGTACTGTGTGTACACCATTTTTGTATCAACAGTTCTGTGTCGGGGGCTCTGCCGACACCACGGTCAGGTTGTGTAATCCTCAGCTGCGTGTTTATCTGTGAGAATGTATGATGTGCTTGGCAGAAAGAAAGACAGACCAAGTTGGAGACAGGCTTTACTCAGAAAGAACAGACTGCTACTCTCAGCCTCTAGTCTCCAGGCCTCAGACCTTCCTATTTAGAGACCCCAACTCTGCCCTGAGGGTTCTCCTGGCTCCTGAGCTTCCTCACATGCTGGGTGGGGAATGGGAATTCAGCCCAAACAGAAACCCAATCTGGGCCAGGAAACCTCAGTCAGAAGAAGAAAGTGGGAAGAGAGGAGTGGGATAAAAGGGGAGGGGGCAGAGCCTCCTGGTTCTATCTATGCCCCGTCCCACCGGCCCAGGCTGCTCCCCGGGAGGGGGGGTGAGGACCCAGCACTCCAAGGATGACTTGTGGACTGACCATCCCCACATCCACCCCCTGGGATTGGTCTCTGTCCTACCTGGGTCCTTCCTCCAGGGTGCAGACCTTTGCTCTGGCTCAGCCCCCTGCCCTGGTGTAAGGGCGCAAACACCATCCAGGTGGTGGTGGGGAAGAGGGCAGCAGTGGAGCCATATGGGTCCTTCCCACCCTCTCCTCCAGGAACAGAGGAGACACAGGGCTGAAGGCGAGGGCTCCTGGGCCCAATCCCTGTGCAGGTGGAACGTGAGCCACTGAAGTGCTGCTCCAGGCCAAGGTCAGGAGGCCCCGGTGACCTAGATGAGGGCTCCCCGGGGAGGGGTGGAGGCCAGCATCTCCCAGAGCCCATGTGGCTCCACAGCCCCTTCCCTGGGCGGCTGGCCTAGTCCCTGCCTGGAAAGGTCCACAGAGCAGTCCCCTCCCACCTGCCCTCCACAGGAGACATGAAGGGGACTCGCTCCCCGAAGCTGGGGCAAAATGAATCAGGAAGGGCATGGGGGAGGGAGGGGGAAACCAGATAGGGAACAGGGGGGGGGCTGTGATGATATTTCCTTCCACTGCCCTTATCTGATGGAAGTGCTGCCCCTGGTCTGACCACCCCGCTTCCCCACCCACCGAAATCAAGACGAAAAGGGAAAGGGACGGGGAGATCCGAGGGGCAGGAAGGACTGAGGCAGGAAAGAGAGGGAGCTGGGGGGTATCTCAGAGCAGGTGGAAGCCGGGGGGGGCAGGGATGCTG